TCACCCACACCAGATGGAAAACTCTACAGACTGTCGGTTCACACCCCATCACAAGCCAGCAAAACATCCACGAAACGAAGAAAGGTCTGTCACAGCCAAAAAATACACTCCAGACACGCCGCTGGCACTAGAGGCAGTTCTGGGGCGAGGAGTGTTGGAATGTTGTTTTAAAATGATAATAAAAATGATAAAACCCATTTATTTTGTAGGGCTTGAATTTGGTGCTTGAGGTCGAGAATGCCTAAGCCTCCTCTACACTTTGATTGGGTGGTTATCCTCCGTGCTACTCTGTGTATGAAATGCTCTTCATAAGTTCATATGTGTTTCCCGTCTACAAGAAGGCTGCTGATTTGGAACTGGTCTGTTGGGAACCAAATTGGAGTGACACACCACATCATGGCTAGGATCAAGTTGTTCAGGGCAAGCACTCTTCCATTACTGAAGTAGTGGTCCTTTGCCAGCACCGCATTCTCTTTATCATTGAGGAGAATAGGGTGGCTGCTGACTCTGCATGACATCCTTTATTGTTTACTTTTGTTTCTAGGAGTCAAATTGGATGAGCAGGGTCTGCCCATTGCATACCTTGGAGGGTGAATTCTAGTGGCGGATTTTCTCCTGATATCCACCAGCCTATTATCTTGTTCCAGTTTATCGTGATTTCTGAGGCTAGCTGGAAGGCTTGCAAGAGGAACCTATGGCTCTGATTAATACTGTAAAGTCATTGGCGAAGAGTGCTACGGTTGTGAGGTGTATTACACGGTCGTTATCATTTTTTAAGCCCACAAGTCTTTCTATCTAGTGGTCTTTTCGCAGGGAGGAGGCTATGGCCTCCACGACAAAGCGATATATAGGGGCGGCAAGGGGGTCCCCTTGTCTAACGAACGTGACATTTTGTAGCCGCAAAGCCATTTATTTGGACTAATCCTTGCGCCTCGGTATAGAGAACTCTTTGAATCCACCAGGGCAATAGAAGAGAACAACATCAAGGCTGCGATCCTATTTGGGGTGTTTATCTTCTTCTTCTTCTTCTTCTTCTTCTTCCTTGGTTTCATTCTTCTTTCACTCGAGTTGCAATGAATGGCATTGTCTCATCTTTGAGTTCTGCATTGTGAGTTGACCAGGATCTTAGCACAAGCATATTGCTGGTCTCATGGATCGGCATTGACTCAGTGACAAATAAATGAAAAGCAATGACAAGGGAATGATCACATGTGTAACAATCCCCTTTCTCTCAATCAATCAACAACAATAATAATGAAGCTTGCTTAACGCTGGTCCGTTCCTCAATCGACCAGTAGATGCAGTTACAATTGCTCTATCACTACCTTCTTCCCCCGAATACGACGCACGGCCACTAGAGCTGTATTTAGACTGAAAGACACCCCAAGTACGGCTATAATGACCATACACGTACATTGTATTCGGGGGAAGGAGGTACTCTGCACGGGCCTATTCTACTCAGTCTCGACCAGGAGTCAATGCTGCTCAATGCAACGCTGCCCCCTCTGAGTCCAATCAAAGAATGTAGGTCACTGGAGCCACCATATCGAAGACCAACCAGGTAAGTCTTCTCCCTTTCTCGACATGGCTCTCCTGCCTCTCCTGAGGAGCTCATCTGGTGCCAATCTCACAAGCATGCGGCATATTAGCCATGCAATTCTTTCCCAAATTTTGTGGCCTTCATAGGTTTGACCTGTGATGATTTTATCAAGAACAGATGTGCTTGTTTTTGTAAGGCGCAAAACAGGAGGTCTTTTGATTGGTGATGGTGGTCCTCTGACACTGGTTGATGAGGTTGATGGAATGCCATGTCGAATAGGACTGCAGCATGACTCTTTGTTTTTTTTTCCTACGAGGGAGTTTGGCCCTCACATCATTGTATTCATCTGATTCCAACAAGATCTGAACTCTTGCTCTGTTTGTCAAAAAATGCACGTGTGTAAGATGCAGCCGACAGTGGGATTTCTTTTTGCGACAAACTTGTGAAAATTTAATTGGCGTTGCTCAAACTGTTAAAACTTAAAAGTGGTAACTGAGAAGCCCATTGGGCTCCTGGTCTGCCTCACATTCAACTGATTTCAACATGATTTGAACTCTTGCTCTGTTTATCAAAAATTGCATGTGTGTAAGATTCAGCCAACAGTGGGATTTCTTTTTGTTTTGTGTAAATTTAACTGGCATTGCTCAAACCGTTGCAAGTGGTAACTGAGAAGTCAGACGTGTTCCTGGACTGCCTCACAATGTTCTGTGAAAAGGTTTTCCCAGAGCACAAGTACCTGATTGTTGAAACACTCAGGCAGGCTGGATGCTCTGTGGGGATGACAGGAGATGGAGTGAATGATGCACCTGCATTGAAACGGGCAGATGTCGGGATAGCTGTCCAAGGTAATATTGTTACGATGTCCTGGACTTCCTTGGTTGTTGCTGTGATTCGTTATCACATGGAATGTCTCTTCTGTTCGACACGAGAAGCACTACCCCGGACACAATGAAGGAAGAGGCTAGAAAAACAAAAACACTGAAGGAATTAGTTACCAAGGATGTGAAAGCATTATGGCAAATGTGAATGCGTGAAAATAAATCGTATGGAAGTCAGGGGAATCATCATGCATGCACTAACGAGAGCCGCCATCTGGAATAACCTGAATCCCAGCAGAATGAACATCATTATAAACGCATTGAGCTTGAAATCCATCCTTAGGTTTCATATTAAACCACCAGTTCACGCGAACCTAAGTAGGGATCCCGGTATATGCGGTAAGAGCATTTCGATTCGGGCCTGGGCCAGTAGCAAAAGCCGCAGGCTACTTTGAAAAGGCACAGTTGCAGGCTCATGGAATGTGGAAAGTAGCTTCGTCAACTTAGGCTCATATGAACTGGTGGTTTAATCACCTTCCTGGATACCTATGTGTGCCTTAACATTCTTGCAGGTGAAATACTTCAGTGCAATGAGCCCCTATTCTTAACTTCTTAGAAGATCTATCCGTATGCCCACAGTACCCATACGCATGTTTCCAATCCACCAAAGCTCAGAGCGCTCAATCAATACTTCTCCGAGGGTCTCAAGCACGCTGAACTGTCACACTCGACACATGCGTTCAACACATGCTGAAAACTCCATCTCAGTATCCTTGTCCTCCCCTTTTCTCAATGATCTATGTCAACAATGACCATCACAATCTTAGAGTCTAGCCTCTAGTGAAAACTACAGATGATTGGAAAGGCCAATCAAACTCCGAGATCAACAAACTAGGGCAGGTTTTAAGCACAACATCAGAACACACACTAAACAATTCGGTAACGATTGGCCGGGGGGGAAACAGGGGGCCTGGATGGGCGAGGTGTATCAGGCCCAGATTACAAGGGACTACAAGCTCCTCTTTCACGAATGGACGGCCATCAATAGTTTGGTTCAGCTGCGGCCTCTGCCAGATTTCAGCGACCCCTTTCCCCCACACCCTCACTCCCTGGTGGATCTTCAATGTTATGGTGAGTAGCGTACAGCTGGTAGGGCCACACAGATTATTAGGCGGCCCCGTGTAGGCTGAAGAGGCTATCCTTTCTTCCCATCCTCAATTCTCGGTAGGGGTATGCAGCACTGCCTTTTGGGTAAGTGATTCGTTGTATCAATGGGACGAAAAAAAAAAAAAAAGTAGGTTTTAAGCAAAACACACGGACCGAGGGCGAAGCTTGAAGTTCCATATCATGACTCAATCCTAATTTCGAGATAAGTGTGGAGCTCTCTGGATTAGCAAAATTTTTAATGGTATTACACATTGCACACTTCCATCCAGAACAGAGAAAAAAGAAGTTCAAGCCTCATCTCTGACAATCTAAAGCAACCAAACTGTCATCCCACAGAAACAGCTACAACTCTTCTTCAAGACATACACCATAGCTGTATATCTCCTCCTCTTTCACAGTGCTCCGACCACACAGCAATCCTTCCTGGACTTCGTTTTTACACCCAAGTCAGCGTGGTCCAACTCATATCTGCCAGTTGTCTGAATGGTACCGTGGCATGCTGGGGGCTACAGGTAGGCAGTGGCCCAGTGCCACATTGGGCTACTTCCACCTTGCCCACCTGTTGCCTGATCTACCAACGTTCCACCTTGGCCACCTGTTGCCTGATCTACAAACGTTCCACCTTGGCCACCTGTTGCCTGGACACAGTTTCGGATCCCAGCATTTTATCTTATTTCTAATTTTCTATCTCATTCTGGATTGCCAGCCGACGGGCATAACTCCCACCTGATCACCCAGGTACCCCAACCCAGGAGAGGCCTGGCTGGGAAAGGACCAGGCAAGGTGCTGGGCTGTCCCAGTGGAGATGTTTTTGAAAATTCACCGTGACAGTCGTGACTTTTTTTTTGTTTAAATTTGGACCATTTCTCGATTCCATCCGCGCGCAGGGGCCATGCTAATCTTCTCTGCATTGTTCCAATTTTAACAGACTTCCTGAAGGATATTTAGCTAGAAATTTCAAAAAAATTAAAATTCAAAATTGAAAACAAGTTTAAAAAACATCCCAGAAAAAAACGTTGCAAAAGGATTTCACGCGTCTCAGCGACTAAGTCTCAGCACCAATCCCTAAGTCCCAGTGTCCCATCACTACATATAACAATCGCTATTTGGCAGCCTGTGACCAGCATCCGATCTGGGCCCTTGGTTTCCTTGGTGCTTGGCGGTCCAGATTGGCTACTGATCATTTTCGATGTCATCAACTCGCAATCCAGATTGCGACTCGATCATCTGGAGACGATCAGTAGGCCGGTGGCAAAATCACACTGGGCCGGTAGGCCCTGGCCCAGTAGTGCAACACAGGGCAATCCGAAGGGCAACTTTTGGCCGGTTTAAGGTAGTAATGCCCGCGGCACTCCCCAGGCCAATATCGGAACGTACACATGCACGGGGGTGTCGTAACGAACCTTTTTTCGTGAGGCAGCACCAGAAAGAAACAGCGCCCCTAACTAACTGGCTACACTCCCCTTCGACACTCGACTTTACTGTACCCTATTGTTCCTACTTGACTACACTCGAGTTCAATTTTACTCTACGCTCGGCGCTACTCTTCACTACTGTGGTCGACTTCGACTCTCTACGCTCGTACGCTCAACTTTGCTACTCTCTCTCTCTCTCTCTCTCTCTCTCTCTCTCTCTCTCTCTCTCTCTCTCTCTCTCTCTCTCTCTCTCTCTCTCTCTCTCCCCTTGGACGCTGGCTACATTCGACGTCAATGCTACTCTACGCTCGGCACTACCTCTCTACAATCAACGTATTCTACGCTGCTACGCTCAACTTCGCTACTTCATTTTTTTTTTTTTTTTTCGGGGCAGCAGTTTGTCATTTCATTTTTCATTTTCTTTTTCGTCGGGGCAGAAGTTTGTCGTTTCGTTTTTTATTTTCGTTTCGTTGGGCTGCAGTTTTTGTTGTTTCGTTTTTCATTTTCTGCGGGCATGGCCCGCACCATCCGCACCGCGGGCGCTTAGCTAGTATATATAATCGAATGTTACACTTTGCAGCTGCTGAAAAGCCGTGGCATGCGTATGCTGTGATTGGCTCTTACATAACATGGAAAGTCGGAAAGATCAACAGCATGATGCGGATATAACCATGGCTCAGTACATACTACATATCCTGACCAGATGTAGATGGAACTTGTTATTTGAAATGAGTACCATGTTTACTGTGCCACTCCTCTTCAGCCAATCTTCCTCATTTTTTATGAAAAGGAGGCAGCCCCTAGCATTATTGCAACCCTTCTGATTCCAACAGAACTCGAACTCATGATCTGTTCCATCAACAGCTAGGTATGTGTGGACCATTCAGCCAGAAATGGCTTTCAAGAGGGAAAATGAGATAGTTGATTGATTGGTCAGTTGATTGACCTTTTGATCAGTTATTTGTCGGTGGATTGGTCGGTTGACTGGTTTACCTTCCTTGCGTGTGTGGACGTTTCTCGTCTTTTGTTATCGTCATATTCCAGGTGCGACGGATGCAGCTCGAGCCGCAGCTGATATTGTCCTCACGTCACCTGGCTTAAGTGTTGTTGTAGAGGCAATCATTGTGGCCAGGCAGATCTTCCAGCGGGTGAAGTCGTTCATAAATTATCGTATAGCTGCAACTTTGCAGCTTCTGTGCTTCTTTTTCATAGCAGTTATTGCATTCGATCCACATGAGGATTTTGAGCCTCCCTTTTGCCATGTGCGATTTGATCCAACTGAATGGCGCAGCTGCATCGATGTTCCATCTCACAGGCAGGAACATCCAGACAGCGTCATAGACGGATGGCCATCGTTCTTCCAGCTTCCTGTGTTGATGCTCATGCTCATCACACTTCTCAATGATGGCACACTTATTACCATTGGCTATGATTTTGTAATACCGTCACAACATCCTGAGAGATGGAACCTCCTGGTAAGTTCTATCAGACCCTGACATCGGAGTGATTGTACACCTTCTGTTCTCCGTGTATGCCATGTAAGTCCCTGTCGCAAAATCAGTGTAAATCATTTATTGACTTATGTAAGTTATGTTTGGCATTATTGACATTTAATTCTTAGAATGACTTGTTCGAATGTCAAAATCTAAAACCACCTTGGTTTTGCCTTTATTTATGTATGTAAGGTGTTAAACCACCACTAGCTTTTGGCTGGAAGGCGAAGTCGTGAATATAAGCTATACCATATTCTTTGGAGGCCGGTGGAGACCGGGTGCTACCAGACAAGAACGGCTGGCAGCTCCAGCCAAAACAAAACAAAAAGTGCTGCGCTGGCGCTTCAGCCAAAGCTTGGCGCGCAGTTCTACCCCACCTCAGCAAAAACAGGCTCGGAGGTAGTGGTGGTTTAAGATTGAGCTTACTTCCAAGTTCAAGTACTCACCAACGTGCTTGATTGATTACTTATGAAAACAATAGTGGCATCATCCTCCACATAAGTAGGAGGAAATCTTCCTTGCCTTGGCACTGAGCCACAATTTTGACTTCAAGTGACTGAGTAGCCATAGAGATTTCAGTTGCTATGGCTGGCTCCTTCTCCCCTCCAATTGTGGCTCAGCGGCATCGTCCTTCACATAAGTAGGAGGAAATCTTTCTAAAACTCGCCCACCCGGGCACTGAGCCACAAATCTGACTGCAAGTGACTGTAGAGATTTCAGTTGCTATGGCTGCCTCCTTCTCACCTCCAATAGTGGACAAATGAAAATGATTTCCCGTTCTTAAGGAAGGACAAAGTGGAGGAGGTAACACCCCCCTGGTCCCTCTTACTTTTGTTGAACTGCACTTCCCTGCCTATGAGCATGGGCATGCCAGTGTGAAATGACTGATGGGGCTAAGGAAAAAAATGGTGGAAACGAATGTGCACATGCCTGCTAAGACCCAGGTCGGAGTCCTAATTCCATCAACTCCAGCTATGGAAACCATAAATCAATCAAGGGCCCCGGCAGGTTGGGCCCAGGGGGTCCGCCCAACGAAACCGGGCGACGCAAAAACACAGCAAGGATTTTTTTTATTTTTTTTTTGAAGGCGGGGTTGTGCTGCACTACACTAGAGGACCCCGAATCTGCAATATGGGTCTGGGCGGGCGATTTGGGTCTGGGTCGTTTCGGCTTTTGTTTTTTTTTCTCTTCTACTGCATCTTCCCAGAAATACAGTATCGAACCATTCTGCTGTTTAATACGCCCAAGTAACGAAATATAGAACGGATTGCCCTGCCTCGTTGGCAGGGCTTACTAAGAAAAGAAAAGAAAAGAAAAGAAGAAAACGTATAGACTTTCGGAGAAAAAGAAGAAGGAAAAACGCACTTACCTTTGCCCCGAGAGCTGTGGAGATCAAGGGGCTTGCTCCACTGCTGACCAAATGTGCAACATGAGCATGAATCTTCTGGTAGAACACAGGTAGATACACTGCTAGTAGTTTAGAGCTTGAAATGCCCTTTTTCCTGACCTCGTGTGGGTGGTACAGCCCTCAGGAGCTGGCTATTCGTTTTTCAGGTTTTTTTTTTTTTTTTTTTTCCTCCTGCGATAGGAGTATCTGGGCTCCATCCAGCTTCCTAGCTCAATTGGTTAGGCACGCAAGTGGCATTCAGGAGGTTGTGGGTTCAATCCCCATGGCCGCCTGTGGCACTCTTGGTGCCATCCAACTGAGATAGTGACCTGGATCCTCCCAGTCGGTATCAGTGAGGTCTTCAGCCAACACGGGTGTGAGTGCGCGTGTGAGTGGGTTGTGTGTGGTGTGTGGGAGAGTGGCTTTGGACACTACCATCCAGAAGGCTGCCCATCCCCCACTTCATAAGACCTTTGCAGCACACAAGTGGCATTCAGGAGGTTGTGGGTTCAATCCCCACGGCCGCCTGTGGCACTCTTGGTGCCATCCAACTGAGATAGTGAGCTGGATCCTCCCAGTCGGTATCAGTAAGGTCTTCAGCCAACACGGGTGTGAGTGCGCGTGTGAGTGGGTTGCGTGTGGTGTGTGGGAGAGTGTTGGCTTTGGACACTACCATTCAGAAGGCTGCCCATCCCTCACTTCATAAGACCTTTGCCACGCTTACTGTCTAGAACATAAAGCATGCTGCCCGAATGGCTGCATCCCTGCGTTTGACACTGTAACGAGCGTGAGGCTGAGGGTGAGCCGAGGGAGAGGAGAGAGAGGGAGAGAGTGAGAGCACACACACACACTCGCTCACTCGACACGACTGACTCGGACTGGGGATCGGACGCAGACACAGTGGCAAGGCACAAAGTCGAAGTCTTGGATTCTGAATGCTGAAACAGCAAGTCACACTGACTACGAGTACAGCAGCAGGGAACTGGTACGAGACTGGTTCCCGTACCGTACGGGGAGCCGGTATAAGTACCGGTGACACGTACGGTACCAGGGGCATTTCTGCAAAGGGCCCGAGGGCAGAACTGAAAAATGCAGTATTTGAAAGTGGCGCCCGAATTGCAGCATGGCGCCAGTTGTCCAAAATCCTACGGTACCAAAGGAGGGGTTTGGAAAAAGGGTGCCAGGCCGAAAACGGGATGCAGCCGAACAGCAAAAAGATAGACCAGGGATCGAGCCCTGGCGAAGTCCATAACAGACATGGTATAACAGTCTGTATGTATGTCTGTATGTCTGTGTGTTTGTCTGTGTCTGTGTGTTTGTCTGTGTGTTTGTCTGTGTGTCTGTGTGTTTGTCTGTGTGTCTGTGTGTCTGTATGTATGTATGTATGTATGTATGTATGTATGTATGTATGTATGTATGTATTGTATGTATGTATGTATGTATGCATGTGTACATGCTGGCAACAGTTTGTCACAACCCCCCATTTCTTGTCCCTTCCTCCCATTCTGCCTGCGGTTCACCAGGCAGTTCTCTGTGATTCTTCCCATGACAAATGAATGCTCGTGGGTGTGTTTACTAAAAGACTATGTGTGAACATGTAATTCGTTGTGCAGGTTTTGGCGCTTCTGTCATGTATTTTGGCGTTTGTCGCGTGCTTCTCATCTCTGATCCTCCTATGGGCAGCAATGGATTCATGGCGGGCAAAGTCACTGTTTGCGAAGGTAGGGCTGCCACATTGTGAATATGGACAGGTTGTGACAATGATATATTTGAAGGTATCCATATCTGACTTCTTGACCTTGTTTAGCTCCCGGACAACATTGTTCTTCTTCCAGCAGAAACCCGGGCGTCTATTATTCATCGGGGCCACATTTTCGCTGCTGATATCAACCATTACTGCATCCTTCTTTCCAAAAATGGTGTTTGAGAAGGTGCATATTGAAGGTTTAAGCGCGCCATCTGCCCATTACAGGCTTTGGCCATTTTGGGTCTGGCTGTATTGCCTGTTCTGGTGGGTAGTACAAGACCTCCTCAAGGTGGTCGCGTACTTGGTGGTTGTTAAGTATAACCTATTTGGGGCAAATGAAGGTAAGAAAGTCTATGTGAAGAGAGACGGCCACCAGCTGGACCCTGTAGAGGAGAGTCCAGAAGAAGTTGTGACTCTCAGCTACAGCAGGTCTAATGGACAGGCACTTGCTACCGAGTTGCAAAACGAGGTCAGGAAGGGTGGACTTGGCCAGGAGATCGGTGCCAAGTATGAGAAAGGACGGAACGGTGAGGAATATCTGTCTGTCAGCTACACTAGACAATCAGGTAAAGCTATTGCCGCAGAATTGAGGCAAGAGTTGGTGCGCAAGTCCCATGCTAGCCCGTCTAGCCCATCTTCTCACCATAACCATTCGAGCTCGAATAACCACCACAGCAACCTCGGGCAAGCCAGTAAACAAGGCCATGGCAGCAAGCATTAGGGTGAAAATGCTGTGTGTGTGTGTGTTTGTGTGCATGTGTACGTGTGTGTGAGAGAGAGAGAGGAGAGGGAGTGTCTGGCAATGTATTCGAGTATGTGTTTGGTGGCATTGATGGAAGACTGTGGGGGCTTGGATGAATGAGAAAGCGGGCTTCGGCAATGAGCTGTGTTTCTAAGGGGTCATGTTTGCTTTCTGTTTTTCTTTCCGGTTAACGGACAGTCAAAACCCACTGTTGACAAGAGTGGGAAATTGTCTTTGCGAGATATCGGTTGTTATACGGAAAGAGTTAGTAGTAGTTTGGTTTTGCAGAGAAGGGGGTGAAGAAGTTGGGCCCTCACGGTGGAAGTGGGAGAAAGATTACCATGGTCGGAGCTTAGAAGTGGGTGAAGAAGTCTCAATGGTTTGAGCTGAGCACAATACTGTGCTGGCGAGATCCATGATTGGATATGTATTTGTAGAGTGTTCTTGGCAGATTGTCATTGCCGGGATGTGGTAAGCATCACTCAAGAGACATGGAGTTGTAATTTGTCCGGAAAGGATGTCAGTGATCGTTCTAACGAGAGTCCGAGTTGATGTATTGCCGCCTCTAGCTGGATGTTTTGCTTAATCCTGATCCTTTTCTTCTCCTGTATATGTCAACGTACAGGCAAAGGACAGATCGTTCTTAGGCATTAGACTCTTTCTTTTGTATTGGACTTTTTTTTAAGTTTCTTTTTTTTTAATTAATTAATACCACATTCTTTTCCCAGTAGTGATCTTCCTGTTGTGGCTTTCTTGCATCTGACCAAGATGGGCGAATAGAGAGGCATTTTATTCTCTCTCTCTCTCTCTCTCTCTCTCTCTCTCTCTCTCTCTCTCTCTCTCTCTCTCTCTCTCTCTCT